TTATATTAAATATATAAAAAATATTAGAAAAGAAAAATATTTATTCAAAAGCTATATGATAATTAATCACTTCATACTTTCTCTTAATATAATCTATCCATCTTCTCCATACCAAGATAAATTTTTCTTGAGATTGATCCTTCAAGTATGCGGAAATTTTTGCCATTTCTGCAAAGTATGACACCTTCAATCTCCAATCTTCCATAGTCGGTAATACCTCTTTCTTCCAGTTTTGAGCAATCAGTAATCTTGCTGCTGTTACACAATACAACATCAGATTCATTTCTTTAGGATCCAAATTTTCCATAATACCCAGTAAAAATAACGGGTTCATATTTTTGATGGGGGTCACGTGATCCCCCTTTTGCAACCTCCTGACAAAGTCAATGGGGAAGTCAGATTCTTTTAACTGCCGTGATTCAGTGTGCAACTGGGGCAAGGAAGGTCGTCAAAATGGGGCAAAATTCATGCAACTGTCTTGCTTAGCAACGGACATTTTGGGCCCCATTGCAGTCGTTAGTCTGAGGACTCCCTAATCTAAATGATAGGTTTATGAGTTATAGGGCAGTGATGGCAAACCTTTTAGAGACCGAGTGCCCAAACTGCAACCCAAAACCCACTTATGCATCGTCGGGTGCCAGGTGGGTGTGGCTCAGTGAGTGGGTGTGGCCCATTGGGTGGGTGTGGCCTATTGGGTGGGCGTGGTTGTGGTGGTAACAGCAGACTGGGTGGGACTAAAAAGTTCAATCAATTCCAACTTTGTGAGATCTTTTTTTTTCCCCGTGAGAAGTTGAAATTGATTGAACCTTTTTATTTTTTTGCACATGGTGGCAGAGGCCTAAAGCGAAAAGGCTTTATAAAACCCAGCAAAGGCCTAGGACTGGGGCGACGGCGCGCGTGCCCACAGAGAGGGCTCTGAGTGCCACCTGTGGCACGCGTGCCATAGGTTTGCCACCACGGGTATAGGGTTTCCTGCTTGAGCAGGGGATTGGACTAGAAGACCTCCAAGGCCCCTTCCAGCTCTGTTATTCTGCAAGGGTTTCCTGCTTGAGCAGGGGGTTGGACTAGGAGATCTCTAGGGCCCCTTCCAGCTCTGTTACTCTGTCCAATGATTTTGCTTCTATTTCAGAGACGAACGGAACCAGTCCATCATCGTCAGCGGGGAATCGGGCGCTGGGAAAACCGTGTCTGCCAAATACGCCATGAGATACTTTGCCACGGTGAGCGGCTCGGCAAGTGAAGCTAATGTTGAAGAGAAAGTATTAGCTTCCAATCCTATAATGGAGGTAAGACCGGAATGTGTGTGTTGTTCCTTTTTTTTTTATTATTATTATTATTATTATTATTATTATTATTATTATTATTATTATTATTATTATTATTATTATTATTATTATTATTATTATTATTATTATTATTTTAAATTAGAGAACAATTTTGCCATTGGACGATTTGTTTCCCCTTGACCGCTTCAACCATCCTGGATTATATATCAGGCCCCAAATTTTTGTTGCTAAGAGGGACGTTTGTTAAGTAAATTTTGCCCCATTTTACCATCTTCCTTGCCCCAGTTGTTAAGTGAGTCATTGCAGTTGTTAGTAACCCGGTCATTAAGTGAATCTGGCTTCTCCATTGGCTTTACTTGTCAGAAGGCCGCAAAAGGAGATCACATGACCCCAGGACACTGCAACCGTCATAAATACAGAGTCAGTTGCCAAGTGTCCGAGTTTTGATCACGTGGCCACAGGGGTGCTGCAGTGGTCCTAAGTGTGAAAAACGGTCATACGTCACCTTTTTCGGTGCCATTGTAACTTTGAATGGTCATTAATTGAACTGTTGTAAGTCAAGGACTGTCTGTAACTGATACGGATTTTTAAGGACTAGCAGATTTTGAAGGAAAACAGGACAATGATGGAAGCCCTTAAAAATGTAATGCAAAAGAGAAATGGATGGGGAGGGATGGATAAATATATATATATTCTCCCTGATGATATACCTACCAGGTGCAGAACATTCAGGAGATCTATTGAGAGATTAAGTCCAACTTCCCCCTTTCTTGAATATTGTAAAACCTATTTTTTCCTTATTTTAAGCATTTCTTGAAACACAAAACAAAAGTGGAGGTGGCCCTAAAGGCAACTTTGTCTGAGGTGTATTTGATGTATTCAGAGCTCAGGTAATTCTGCCTGGTTTGCCGTGCTGTGTGGAATTTTGCAAGCAACTTTACCGAGCATTTATCAGTAAAACACCTACTAACCAATAGGCATGTCGTGAGCATTTTCACTTTTCCTTCTAGATGTAGAACGATCCTGACATGATAGAGCAGGGGTGAACAGCTATGACAACTTTAGGACCTGTGGACTTTTAACTACCAGAATTCCTGAGTCAGCATGGTTTAAAACATGCATTATTATTAATATTATTATTATTTTTGAGTCTCTCCACATCCCTTCACTCTATCTCTGGTGACTTACAAATACAGTCATTGTTCTAAAGATATCCTCCACCCTCAGTCTTCAAAAAAAATTCCTCTGATTCAATCTTAGTGGGTGGGTGTGCTGCACTGTCACTAACATGCAGTTACTGTTAACAAAAGTGTATGGATGATGAAACCCATTTTCTGAAAGAAGGTCTGTTGGGGTAGTGGTTTTTAGTCAAACAATTCTTTGTGTCTACACAAAGAGGTCTGTTTGTGCTTAGTAATATCATATGCATCTGAATATGTTAACTGGAGACATGGTATAGATTAAATTAGGGATAGAGGCCTCGCTTTTTAATACGAGTTTTAAGTTATGGATTAACATTGGCAATTGTTAAAAGAATAATTCTCAAGCATGATGTAGTCCAGGGGTCTTCAAACTTGGCAACTTTATGACTTGTGGACTTCAACTCCCAGAATTCCTCACACTGGCTGAGGAATTCTGGGAGTTGAAGTCCACAAGTCTTAGAGTTGCCAAGTTTGAAGACCCCTGATGTAGTCCGTCTTCCTTTTTGGATATGCACATGTCTTCTCAGAAAACCCTAGTCTTAGAAGAGGCATCCTCTCCCATGTGTGTGAGAAAGAAACCCTCCTTAATTAATTAATTAATTAATACTTATAATTGGAGTGGGTCTCAAAATTTCTGACCCTGTCCTCTTTCCTTCCCCACAGTCTATTGGCAATGCCAAAACCACAAGAAACGACAACAGCAGTCGCTTTGGGAAGTACATTGAAATCGGTTTTGACAAACGGTATCGAATCACAGGGGCTAACATGAGAACTTACCTCCTAGAAAAATCAAGAGTGGTGTTCCAGGTAAAGGGGATTCGGCCTTATTTGCATAATTATAAGTTGGGGGACAAAACTGTGCGTGATGGCTTACATCTGGAGTGGGATGTGGTTGGGGTTCGCCTTTTGCAATCCAGAGTGGAAATGGTTAATTTAAGGAGGAAAGGATCTCTACACCTATTGTTCCAGAGGGGGACTCAAGAACCAGTGGAAGAAATTGGAAGGGGACAAATTATGGGTTGTTTTAGTCCAGGGGTCTTCAAACTTGGTCCTTTTATGACTCGTGGACTTCAGCTCCCAGAATTCCATAGCCAGGCATGCTGGCTGAGGAATTTTGGGAGTTGAAGTCCACGAGTCATAAAAGGGCCAAGTTTGAAGACCCCTGTTTTAGTCACAACTTTCTCAGGATAGTATCTGTCATACAGAAATTCATCCATTATATATATATTATTTCCGTGTATATATTTGTGTGTAATTTATTTGTTCCTGAAGACCGCTGTGTGGTCGCTAAGAGTCAACTGGTTCATATCAAATATAATCTATTTGTATTAAAGGCAGAAGAA